CTGTCTCATTTACTGCATACTTGGAATATTCTGGTTCATGTCACAGTATCTTATGTGGGAAATATCTGAGGAATATGTAATGGACTTTCTTCCAGACATGGGGTTATTTGAGTCTGCCCGTTAAATGTGTGTTTGACTTGGACATCAATGAGACACAATAATTGTTCTCATCCTGTTAGTGATGTATGGGAAATTAAAAAAGACATCTATTAGATGTGCTTCTGGCTGTGGGACTGGAAAGATTGATGTACAAGGTTCCTTCATTTTTCAAAGAGATGACAAAACTAGAGCCATAGTAAGGAAGGCAATGTGGTTTGGTGGGATGTCTGATGATAGTGGGATTGCCTTTATCACTCCCCCAAAGCTGTTCAGTGCTATTGTCCCTTCTCCCACACCTCTTTTTGGAGAACTGTGGAGCACTGTGCCAAAAAGTTCTCCAGTACTTTACCCCAGGCATGGATGTGAGACAAATCTTGGGATCAAACATCTCTGCTGCCCTGCAAAATACTATCTCAACAGCAGAAACAATTGTACCACCTATAGATATTTATGGTTTTTTAGTGGGTTGCTCTAACAGTCCTTAATATTGCTGGTTAGAGCAGTAGAACTGGAGGAGGCTGTGGTTTGTCCTGTTTTGCAGACATCATTGATGTAAGGTGTTTTGGTTTTGTTTTGTGGGTTTTGGGCTTTTTGTATATTGTCACACTTTGATGTGTTAACATTCCATGATATTACATCTCCATAAGGAAGTTACATGAGTTAAGCATCCTCTGATGGAACTTGTCTGGAGATGTCAAAAGTACAAATTCTACCAGAAGCACAGAGAAGGTAATAGAGATAACAACTCCCCTGCCCTGCACCAACCTTCACCTGAGATTTTTTTGAGATATGCAGTGAGGTAGTTCATCGTAGATTTCTTTCTGGAGTCATCTGAGGTCCATCCACTCTAATTGTTACATAAAGGTACCTATTTTTTTTTTTTTATTAAACCCCTCACCACAAAAGCTGCACTTCAAAGAATCACCATAGACAGCTTTGCTTTAGTTAACAGGGTGAAGCTCTTTAGTTTCATTAGTCCACCTAATGTTGTCTGTAGTAGTAGCTGTCAAAGCTAGGGACCAGCCACCTCAGTGTCCTTTGTGGACTTCTTCACTGCATATATATCACTGGGTTTTTACTGTGTTCTTCCTGCCCCTTCTCAAGCTGGCGATGTGAGGATGTAGGGCTGACATGTCAGTGAGAAGCGACCCCTGGCAAGCAGCTATCCAAGTGCTGGGCATTTCACATTAGCACCGTAGGTGATCCTATACATATTTCTTTTGAAAATAGAGCAGTTTAAAACCCACAAGTGGAATTAATCCACATTTCTTTGCTCATTTTCCTCTCTCCTTTCCTATTCCATGAGAATCCTTACAATTTGTGGCCAAGAAAGAACTTAGACGGCACTAGGCACAATTGTATCCCAAAAATGAGGAGAGGAAGAGTTCCTTTCACTCCATGGATTCTAGAGATAAAGAATTATGGTATTTCTGCAACCAAGATGAAAACTGCATCTTGCAGAAACCCAGTTAGAGGTAATCTCACTGTATGCAAACTTTTGCATGGTTTTTTTTTTTTTTAAGTGATGAAGTGAGCTTTGACTTCTGACTGTCTTGATTATTCAGAGCATGAAGCTTATTGAAAGCTGAGCCATTGCAAAAGGCTAATGAAGTGATTGTTCCTGCATCCTGTGGATGTAGCTTGATGACTGTAAAGTTCAGCTCGAATTTTTTAGGACGTGCCTGGACTAGGAATGTTAACTAGCTAAGACACATTTAATACAGCTGCATATAATCAAGGATGGTATAAGTAGAAGCTCATATTCTACCTGGTGGTGTTCAGGTTAAAAAGTAATGGAGTAAATGTGATTTGTTACTTGTTGGCACATAAAAATGGAAGAAAAACACAACACAGAAAAGTGGCAGCCCTGCTAGTTGCAATAATATGTTTCAAGTTTTGAAAGTTGTGGGGATAGTAAAAAAAACAAAAACTGAATGAACAATTGCTTCTTTGATTTCCTGAAAGATTAATGTCTAATGCTTCCCTACTTACTGAAAGCAGGAATTTTCTCTTATAAAGTCCAAGTTGCTGTATCTTCTTAACCAGTTTTTGCTGTCTCTGCAACCACTGCAAATGAGAAATATTTTCAGTCAGCACAGGGGCAAGCTGTGCTTTCCCAGGAGTCATTCTGTTGGTTTAAGTAGCTTGCAATAGATATATATAGCTGAGTCTTAGGAAAAAAATTATTTTTCTTAAAGTTAGGAGAGCCAAAAAGGTATCTGATACCTAGTGGAAAAAAAAATCTTCACAAGTTTGAGCCAAACTTAAACCATTATTTTACAATCCTTTCTCTGAAATAAGTGACTGGGCTCAAGCTCATGTGCTTCTTACAGGCAGGTTACAAATGCCTGTCACCACTGTGAGCCACTACCTGCCCAGTGAAATGTTCTATAGCAGATGTGCAGGGAACTTCTGCTTTGGGCTGCAGAGCCCAGAGACCTGGGCTCCCCAGTTTTGTGGTAGCCACAGAGACAGGTTATTGAGAGACAAGATAAGAGGTCCATTAAAATGTGATGACAACTGGAAATGCACATGAAACATTGTGAACTGAGGAGACTCCCTCTGAAGATTTTCTCATCCTGACTCCTTGTCACTCGCATGACATCACTTGTGTCTGCTTTGCAGGAAGGATTTCTGAATATCCTGAAAGAGGTTGACATGCTGAGGCTGGGGCAGTGTATTTCTAAGGGTCAAAGCAGCACCAGCTCCAGCACTGGAGTTTTGGTGACAGGGCACAACAGTGAAGCACAAGAGTTCAGTTGCTCCATGCCCTGTTCAATTTTCATTTACAAAAGGGATAGCCCACAAATGCCACCCTTCTCATCCCATTGAAAAGATTGTGCTCATCTTCCTGTCCCTTTTCCTGTGCATGTGTAGAATACGTTTTTTTTAAAGAAAAGAAAGCCTTGCTTAACATTCAAAGGATGCTTTTAGATTCCCTTTTCATGAAAAGGCAGTGTGCAGGTATGGGGAAGCAGAAAGTCTTAAGATAGTGTGTTTAGAATTAAATGTCTCTGGTGAATTGCATGGAAAATTCTGCTAGTCAGGATTCTTCAACTGTCAGCATTAGGGTCTAGTTCACAAGAAAAAAAAAAATACATAAAGCAATTTTTAAGAGAAAAAAACCCAAAAACACACTACCACTTATGGTGTTGCGATGGCTTAGTATTTTGAAATCTTTACCCTCAAGGAAGAATACATAACACACAATTTTGCAAAAGAATTGGCAAAATATTTTGATGATGACAGCTAAATGAGCTCACTTTTGCCTTTTGAGGGAGGTCTATTCTCCTTGTATTTTCACTTGGTTTTTCCCCTTCTCCCTTGTCCTGAGGGCCAAAAAATGTAACTCTGTGGTTTCCTCTGAGGTGTAATGCTGGAGCAGAGCAGGAGGTAGGTAGGTGTGGTGTCTTGCTGCTCTTGGGTTGCTCTGTGCTTTCTCTTGCAATTGTGATTTCTCTTGCAATTGTGCCCCCTGCCATTTTCACTGTTACAGTCATTTTATGTGGTTTTTTCCTCACCAAATCAGGGTAACCACCCACCCTTCTCTTTCTGAACTCAAACCAGGTACAAAAGACTGCATGAAATTTCAGAAGCTTCCCTACACTATGTGTATCTCACTGACTTGATTTCCTCTCTGCTTTCCCTTCCTGTTGCAGAATTATTTTACATCTAGAGTCGATACCCATGGCCTCACTTGACTTCCTTTCTGACTGAATCACTGTGGCAGGCACAGCTAAAGCGTGGGCTGCTGTGGCTGCCATTGGCCACTCAGCTCCTGCTCTCCTTGCCACCTTCCCCAGGTGACACACATTGCCTTGGATCACTTGACTGCTCTTGGCATGAATGGGTTTTGTTGCACCTACCTGTAAGGCACAGCCCTTTTCAAAGTCGCAGCTTAAAGCCATGGCAAAGGCAAAATTGGTACCAGGATTGGTCCCACATGGCATATAAATTCCTCATTGCTTTTTGACAATGTTTTAAAGGTATAAAAACAAAAAAAACCAGCAGCTTCTTCTTTGGTTTTGTGCTATGAAGGGTACCAGGGATCCTGACAGAGGCTGCCAACCATCAGCAAGGCTTTTGTCAAGCGAGAAGCACCAATGAAAAGATGACTCAAAATTAGGGAACACTGACCAGCCAAAACTGCATCTCTTTCTATAGCAACCTCCTCACTCTTGAGCTGAATTTTGGGTTTCTCCCAAGATGTTCAGTCTTTTCTTTTTTTTATCCTCAGTGTAATGAAAACCTTTCAGAAAACTTCTGGGCACTGGAAGCAAAATCTTTTGTGTAGCAGCAAGGGATTAGGCCTTGGGGACAACCATTAAACAATTGTTTTAAACAGATTTTAAGTGTTTGTATTGGACCACTTTTTGGCACCCTCTTTGTTTCTTCTTAAAACCAGGAGCATCAGTTACTATGAGTACAACTGTGTATGGCCATAAGCAGCTGCTAAATCATATGAAAGAAATTAAAACCTCTCTTCTGGGCCTAAGAGTGCTGTAAATTCTGTGATCTGAAATTTTGGGAACTTGTAGGGTTAGCACTAATAATCAGCAGTCCTGTCAAACTCCGTCATAGCTGGCTTAAAATGCAGGGGGAAGCATGGAATTGCACCTGTCCAAAGCAGTCTGCTTTGGGGCCTTTCCAAAAGCTGAGGAATACAAAGAATGGGAAAGCAAATCTTGCATGTTTATATCAAACAGCTCTCTAGCTGTCACTGAAATATTTGCAGCTGCCTATGTAAGCCTAACCTGCCATTGGCACTGTATTTTGATTCAGTGCACAATGGTTAAAATTTTCAGTACAGTTATGCATGATTTTTATTTTGTTTGTAGATTTTGCTTTGACAGACACCAAGTTCCCTAATTTAAAAAGCAGAGGTGGCTTCAGTTTTTAATTTGCACTGCTGATAAATGATCTCTCCTGCGCTTGACTAGGTAAGTGAATTGAAAGTATCTATGATGACTCCTCTCCTCTCCCTCTCCTCTCCCTCTCCTTTCCCTCTCCCCCTCATTAGGAACACAAGAATTTCCCTGTGATTTAAAAAATAACGTAATATGCTTCTTTGGTTTTCAGCTTAGCTATGTAGAGCTGAACTTCAGTCCTGAAGATCAGGGTGAGTGCAAGTATTGTGCTTTAACTCTCAGTCTTGTTTATTTTAAAACCAAATAAGTAATTTTCAGAATCTTATGTCACTTTCACCCTGGTTTTAAGCATGAAAATAATGCTGGTTCCTGGAAATTTTCCTACCTGTGCTTATAGTTTACTGTGCTTCAAGAACGGGCCTAGAATTGACTTGAACTTTAATATCACTCAGCTGAAGTAGGCAGGTAAATTTTCAATTATTTCCAACAAACTGATAATGGTGAAAATGGAGAAGAGACAATTTGAATAAAATATCATGGCCTGCTTTTAACTTAGAAATAACAATGCTGCTCTGAACCTGTAAATGAAGATTAAAGAAAAATCTCTGAAAAGGACTTTGGTTTTCTACTATGACACAACAGGACTCACTTCCTAATGCACAGAAAATCTTCTCTGGGCTATAAATGTCATCCTCTGCAACTGGGCCATGTGCTGAAGACTTAAGGAGAAAGTGCTTCAGACCACAAGTTTGACTTTTTTAAAATTAGATCAGTAATTTGCAGGAAGTTCCTGAGCTGAGTTTGGATCACAGCAGAGTTCAAACCAGAAAAGTGAGGGGGAAGGTGCTGAGCATGTGGCTGTGCCATCAGCCTCTAGTGCATTCAGGGCCACGCAAGTAGCACAAGCGTTTCTTCTTTGTGCTTCCACTTTCTTAACTGTGGACATGTGGATTTAGTGTGTTAGCCATGGTTTAAGTAGGTTGTTTAAACAATTACATTTCAGAGACCATTACTCAGTACTTTTTACTCTTGTTCTTGTCACAAAATGGTCATTGTCTGTTTGAAATTCAAGCTTCATATGAAAATAATCCAGAGTGCAATAGCTGTGTTCCTATTTGGATGTGTTTCTGTTTTTTTTTTTTTTTTTTTTTTTTTTTTTTTTTTTTTTTTTTGATACATCTAATTCTGTCAAAAAAGAAAGAGAGATTACAGTAGTATTTGGGGTATTTCATTCTCAGAAGCCAACCATAGTATAGTTAACTTCAGTGAAAGCCTGACCAACAGCTACGAAATAAACTTTCATTATTGTTCCTCTGTTTAAGCAGCACTTCCAATGGACTTTCCCTTCATTTATCTGCATTGTGCTGATACCAGCAGTTTGCTCCCTGTGAGCTTCCTGAGCTCTGTCAGGCAATGCTTCCATCACACTGCAGATGGTTTTGCATGAGGGGTTTGGCAAGGGAGTATGTCAGTGCTGCCTCCGAGTAAGCAGGATATATTAGCCAGCTCTTTTTTCTCTCCTTGCCCTATCTCCTGTCTTTTCTTACAAGGAAGAAAACATTGCACAATATAAAGATGAAGTGTAAACAAAATTGTTATCTTGGGGCTTTGAAGGCTGGGTAGGTAGGCTCCTGAGGGAGGTGGTCCCCACAAGACATCCATCTTTTCCCAGCTAAACCTAATTTTGCAGGCTGCTGTGATACAACATGAGCTCCCAAGATTGCACCTGGTTTTACTAGTGGTGTTCACATAATTTGCAACTTGCTTCAGGTGGCTGCCTGGGCTTGCAACTGAACCAGCCTTATCTGTTTATTGTAGCACTCTCAAGGCAATTTTTAAATCTGCTTTGGTTGTTGCCAGAGGCTTCTGAGGGAGCAGATGCTCCATCCTCATCCTCTCTTGGCATCCTCCTGACCTGAAACTGAGGGTGGCTGTTATCTCCCAATGCACACTTCTCTGGGTGGCAAGCTGGTGGGATGACTGCTGTCTGAAGTCCCTGGTGTCCCCAGACGATGTAGGCTTGTGTTGCAGAAAGTGGAGGTGGGACCTAGAACAAAACTTTTCATAGAGCTTTCAATAAAGATTTATGTATCTCTTATATCTCCATAAAAAGCCAACTGCTCTGATACCAGCTTTCAGCATCACAGCCACCTTCTTCTTGACATTAAAACACCTTTTTTATCAGAAATCTGTTATACTGTAGATCTGTTCTAAATTCAGATCTGTCCTAAACACACTTTAGTCTAACATCCAGTATCACTTGCTGCTTCATTATTTAATACACTTCCTATGTTATGAAGCTATCTTTGGTTTGTGTTTGTGCTGGCTTTTTTTTTTTTTTTTTTTTTTTTTTTTCTTTTTTTTTTTCTCTCTTTGTGCTTCCTTATATTTTAACCAAATGAAGTGTTCATTCTAGAAGGAAAGTATTTGGAGGGTGAAGCTTTGTACAAAATGTAATTTTGTATTGTCATAACCAGATCTTCAGGGTTTATATATTTAAACACTTGAAATTTTTCTTCCATGCAATAAGAAGGTATTCCCATCCTTTACCCTGTGAAGGCAAGGTACTGTTTTCCTGAATGCTGGTACAAATATCCTCTTCTTCATTAATATTGATGGTGGTTCAATCATCAGCACCAAGTTTCCTTTCTCCTATTACAGGACAGACTCTTTACAAGAAACCCTGGCTCCCTGAAAAAAAATTCATAGCTTGGAACTTCTTTTTCCTTTCAATACTGTTCTCTCTGGCAACTGACTTGTAACTCTGTGATGGTGTCCAGTTGAAAGTTAATAATCTCATTTGCTCTTCAGAGTGCTTTGCAGCAGGCCATGGACAGATTGTCAATTCCCCTTAGCTAGCAGTGCTTGAGGTGATCATTTCTGTCCACTGTGTGTTTGCCAAAAATGAAGCAATCCACCACATGCCATTTCCCCCTCCCTGCCCTCTATGCAGTAATATTGTCTTGACCTGGGGAGATGAGCGCAGCTTGCTTGACTGGTTTGAAGCTCAGCATGGCTTCCTGCTGCAAGATTTTGGAGACAGACAGTCCTGACTGCAGCATCAGACCTGTGCTCCAGGTTGTGTGCAATCTTCAGAAACTAAATTGATTTATCCAGGGATAAGTACAGGTCTCCCCTAGGGCTGCTGCTTTGGGCTCCCACTGCAGTCTGATTCTTTTTCAGGCACTGGCAGTGTCAGAGAGGCTGGTCAAGATCATCCCTGGATCTGTCACAAGCTCAAAACTGCGTTGTTTTCTCATGTCATCCCAGACCCTTCTTATTGCCTTCCTCTGCCTGCCTCATCTGGCAGTTGCTAAGGGTACCACATGCATCACTTTGCCAAGCGACTGAACTCCTCTTCATTGCTGCTAGCAAGTTTTCACCTCATTTGCTGCTTAAATATTTCCATTCCAGTGGTTGTCCCCGTACTCAATACCATAACATTCAACAGCTTCGGTCTTCCAGGTGTGTGCAAGCCCAAACTATCCTTTCCATCAGTTCTTCTTAGGGCCTGATGTTTGAGAACTGCACAGGGCAGAAAGTTCTTGGGCACACGGCTTTGGTGTCCGGCAAGCTGGTCCCAGGGCACACAGGTGGCTGAAAATGCATTTCTGCCTGATGGACCTCCTTGCTCAAATCAGGCCTCTAGCAGCCAGACCACCTGCTTGTGGAATCACCCCTGCCTTCTGGCCACTGTACGTGCATGGATTCAGCTGCTGCTCTTTGAGAGGAATATGGTGGGAACAGTATTTATTTCACAAGCACCAGAACCATTTTTGTGTGTAATAAAGTGCAACAAGTAGTTACAGCAGAAAATAGCTGTAGAACCCTTTTTTATTATAAGCCTCTGTGTGCATATGCCTGTATACACGTAAAAGTAGTGACAGTATATTAATACGTGTCTACTTGGTAATTTTGGTGGGGTATTATACAGAGGAGTTGTGGTCTGTGGACAATATTTTACAGCTAGAAAAAGACAATTAAGTCACTGTCCATACTTATTGATGAAAATTGTGATGTTATTTTTAGGGTTATTGATAAATGGCCTTCAAAATGAATTATATCTAAATAGGCAAACTGCTGCCTGTGGACGTGTTGAGGTGCAGTCTTTGTTAATCCACTTCTGTGTGTTGATGTCATTAAATGGGCGCCTTCATGTTCAGTTGCTGTTGCACACACAGGCATAGAAGCAGATTGAGTATAATCTCTTTGTCATTTACTTTGCTAATTGGCTGTTAATCAACGCTCTGTGTGTATTTGGTTCATCTGTGGAGTTTAGCAGTGACATTTTATGCGTTTGGCAAAGCAAGGTGCATTGTTTTGAAGAGCCAGGTGTCCTCTGTGGCTTGTTGGCCCAGCTGTGACCCACAGTGGATGCTGCAGGGTCCAGCTGGGCACCAAGGCAGCAGCCAGGACAGGCAGAAAACAACCTCTGCTTGGGGGCTGGGATCTTTTGCCCATCAACCTCTGTCTTTCAGCAGCTGAAACTCACCCATCACAGACCTTTTCCTCTAGGAGTGTCTTTATCCATCAAACTTGATAGGGGTTTTTTGTCTGTCCAGGCAGATCTGAGTTGTTTTTTTTCAAGAAGATAAGAGTTTATGAACTTTGGGTTCTCATACCTGAGGAATATAAGGCAGGATCTTCATTTCTCAAAGTCTGGGTTAGGACAGTGTGATATCAGTGGGGAGCTGTGAATGATAATCACTTTTTGGAGAGGAAAGATGCTCCTGTATTTTGCATATTGACACTAAGGGGAAAAAGAGATGAAATAGCGTCTTGGGTTCTCTGGGGCCTAGCAACAATAAAGCACTCTCTAGATGAACAGACTTATTGCAGCCCTGTTTGTGTACCCTGAGCTTCACTTTAGACTGTGTGCAACAGTAAAGGAATTGCCTTACCAAGGGATAAATTCGGTCTCTTGGCAATCTCTCTAGGTTGTCCATGTCAGTAAAGGTTTCAAGGCACCTCCGTGCTCCATTGCGCTTCTTTCTGCCTTGCTCTGCTTCTCCACACTCCGGCATTTGCAGCTGCTCCCATGCAACTGATTTGTTGGTGGGGTATAAGGAGTCAGAATTGGGAGTACCCTGAAGGGAGGGCAGAGGGATGGCCAACAGGCTTAACACTTTGCTTGCCTTGAGCCTCAGAGCTCTCTTTGGTTTCTCTGTTCTGTAGAAAATAAGGGGAGTCAGGAGTGGTGTTATGCAAAATCCTGGTTTAAATCAGGTTTGTTTTGATATTAGCTTCCCAG